GGGGGGGGGGTTAATCCCTAATCTGTGAATATATATATATATATATTGGATATATCTGAATGCAGTAAGCATGCATCCAGAGGGGTGTAAATAGGATTATAACCGTGGGGGATCTATCTAAGATAACGGGTGTCCCAATAAACAGGGAAAATTGCAAAACTTTTAAACTTTTTATAAAAATAACTTTAGATTCTTATTTTTATTGATCGTTAATTCTTGAATGTTTTTTCCCTTTTTTACCTGTTTTATTCTATAATATGATTCAATACATAGACATATTGGGGGAGAGGGTGGGTCATAACACCATCAGCGCGTGATTTATGGAGGCTCTATATTCCCTGACAGTGAATCATCAGGTGGGGGAGGGGGGGGGAGTTGCTAGTAAAGTGGAAATATAAAGGGTCGGAGTATTTCTACTTCCTTTGTACAGGAATTGAGTTTTTGCCACAAACTCTGATTTTCTATTCTCATCTTTACAACCAGATTTTGTAGTCCTTTTATGATTTAAACTAAAAAATTTTGTAGATCAAACAGTGTTAAGTTTGAAAAAAAAAATTTAGACCATCAGGTTGCAAAGATCTAGGGATAACAAAATTCATTTTTGTTGCAAAAACTCTACTCCTTTGTGAGTTTTTGTTTTTTTTAATCTAATAAAACGTCTTAAAATTAAAATGTCATGGAAATCTACATCATATATATATATAAAGAATAACCCGGCAAGAAATTGTTCCTCTAGAGGAGTACTACTCACTGCTAAAGCCCAATATTTCTTAAGTCAGAACAAATAGATTCTAGTACAATAGATGGCAACGTAGAATTTGTACAATCTTAGTACAGCTGTATTCTGACGTCACAAGTGTCAATTCAGTTTTTGTGTCCGACAAAATTCTTATTAATAATAGTGATAGTTTAAGAATAAAGTCCTTATCTTACAGTAAAATAAGTGCAATTATATGTGTTCTTTATTTCCTGTTTTTACACTTTTTTATTGAATCATAAAAAACATGTCAACTAATGTGAGAAAATTTCGTTTCCTTGTTATATTTGACACTGGTGACATCCTGCATAATTGGTCCATTTCTCTGTTGCTACCTATTGTACTTTATAATCTAATTGAGTCAGAATACTGCAGATCACTAGAATACACACCGAGAGCTTGGTTTATATTGGAAATGCTCTTTCATGTTGAGGAAAAGGGAATAAAGAGGGGGGGGGGGACTTATCAAAAGAAAACTATTTAGTTGTTTAAAAAAAGTAATAGAACTTACGAGATATTAAGAATTTGGTCCTGATTTTATAAATGTTTTATATCTCAAAGATGTTTTCCAACATTTTGTGTTAACCCGGTGTGGGCACAGTGTACATAAACAAATAGTAAATGCATGTATACAGTAGAGTTTGGTTTATTTTTAATAGAATAAACTCACATAGTTTGGTCCTGCAGATGGTAGAGGTCACTATCCCATATGTTGAATTTGGACAAAAACATGGTTGGTAAAATAGTGGACATTTGTTTCCACACCCAGGCCTATTCAAATTATGCTTTTAATTTAACATAACCTTATTTATTTACAGAGATATACAAGGGATGAAACAGTTGGTTTCATAAAAACAAATAATATTTTCAATAATTGTTCAGCAAAAGCGCAAATTTAATCTTTAAAATCGTCCTGGATTTGCCATTCTGGAGGGATGATTCGGTTATTTAAAAGTTATTTAATATTGGCGATGAAAATTGTATCAATAATTGTTTTGCAACATTTTTCAGCGTTGTTTTTGAATATTCTTTAAAAACAATTCTCAAAATCATTCCTCCAGAATGGACAATCCAGGAGGATTTTAAAGTGAATTTATGCTCTTGCTGAACAGTTATACATCATAAAAACGTCTGATAGGTCTCAAACGAATCCTGAAAAATTTCTCTACAACACTGCACTCTCATCTCAACTACCATGTCTAGCCGGTCTCTTTCTTTAAAAGTGTTTCTTTCTGATAATTCCTATATATTTTTCTGCAGTAGAAAGGCATAAATCAATTTTGTAGAGAAATCAAAATTTAAAATCATCAGTTTTAAAAATTAAAACATTGATATCTAATTTATACTTGATCAGACAAAGCTATTAAGGGTATCGTTGTGTATCGGGCATTGGTATTTTTGCATAGAAGTTCACTTGAAGTTAAAGTCTCTTATCTTCTATCTCTCATTGGGTGAAATCTTTGTAAAGTAGCTGAATCCATTGAAATTCTTGAATTCATGAACAGAATAAAAACTAGCTGAAAAGATTGATAGAACGTGTTTATTATTGAACAATGTCTAATCAATTCTATTCTATCCTGTTCTGTATAATGAGCATAATTAAATATACACTGCGTGTATGTAACAAGCTCATGTCAAGATCCTACGGTTTAAATTCTTGGAATTAAAACTTATTTTGACTTGATTTTATTTTTGAGTCATAATATTTATATTGTTATAAAGTTCCTAACTCAGCTGCTTTATCAAAATAGATTGAAACTCTTTAATTTCTTTGCAATGCTAAGTGTTTCAACAAATATTTCAAGTGAATTTTTTAGTTCTAGATCAACTGTAACCATTTTTTTTGCAGAACAGGGTAGGGGACAGGAAGTCCCTTTAACATTTAAATTTCAATACTGGTTGTTTCATCATAAATTTCTACCATTTCAAGAGCCTGTAAAGCATCACACAGTTTTTTTCGCCAAACCTATCTTCAATAGTTAGATATTTTAAATTTTTAAGCAAAAATACTTGTAATGCACTTTTCTGATCGGCATCATTTTTGTGCAAACCTGTTGTTTGTATTTTTTTAGGGTTGACATAAAAGTTCCACAAGAAAAACCCAATAAGGCCCACTTTATAAAACCCAGCTGTAAGTGGGAATTTTTGGGGTTTTTTTAGAATTCTTCTAATTTTTGCCTTTTCTTCACTCGTTATCTCTTTTCTAATATCAACTGTATTGATTCTTTAATTTATACAGCACTAAAACTGACACATTTATTCATTTCCTAAGACTTAATCAATGATCTTAATAAAACAAATATTGTTCGAATATTTAGTTTTTTCAAAAAAATTGAACCTTGTCACTCTGGACTTAGACGGTTTCTGGTTTTAGACCAGACAAATCCAATTGTAGAACACTTTTGAATCAATCTATACACAGAACTACATCAGTTTTCAAAATTTGTTTTTAAAATCCCTCCTTTGTCATTTTTCTGTGTGATCGAGCTGAAGTTTTTTGGTTTTTAACAGTGGTCTTCTTTCTTGAGCATATAATACCTACCGATTAATCTAAATAGCCCCACCACCCACAATCAAAAATATATGCATGCAAGTGAGAAAATAGAAATAGACTGAAATCTTAGAACTATAATACAATTGTAGTATCCCCCTATGAAGAAGGAAGGTGATAGTATTGTATTTGAAAAGAATTTATATATAATTATAGCCTAGTATCACAACATTATTATTTTTCATAACAATAAAGTTCACCTAATGCTTAAATAGTGAATTTTAAAGGTTTTAATTACATTCAAATGGAAAAACAAACAAAAAACCAATAAACCCCCCCCTCCCCCCACAAAAAACAATAAAACCCAGTGGTTTTCTTTGAAATTTTTATTATTGTTTTGGATTTTATTTTATTAGTTCTCATTTAATAAGAAGGATCCTCTCCTGGATTTTGAAAATTAAAATCACCCAAGAAATGAACCTCTAGTGTACAGTAGTTTATAATGTGTTATGTTTAGGGTTGCTGCTGTGCGAACTGTTCTGGTCATCCTAAGGTTTACGGTCAAGCAGGAGGATAGGTCCAGTATAATGTCCAGGTATAAATTAGAGATGGGCATCATTTTTTGCTTTGTTTAAAATTTTTAGTTTTTTAATAAATCTGAGATGTTTCCACTATTCAACATTTTATACAGATGACTTTTAGACTTAATTTATGACTTTAAATAGTCCACTTAAAATGAGACACAGCACTTGAGCAGTTGAAATGGATCCAATTTTTACTTAGTTATTGTTTTGAAAAGTATCACTTGCTTTGTAACAATATTAAATACACTTATATATGACTTTAATGTCGTCTTCCTATTCAATTGTTTTCTGGTTTTCACTGCATGCTTTTTCTGTTTTCTTTTGATATGTTATGCGAAAATTACTTAAGCAAGCATAAGATATTTATAAATAAAAATTCATTATTCATTTCCATTTTTTAATTTTGCCAGGTCAGATTTAAACCATAACTAAATAACGCAGGCAGGATTTTTTGTTTCTGATTATTTTTTTCATGTGAAAAAAATGTGTACATGAAATTTAAAAATTATTTTTACTGTTTTTGTTTACTTTGTTCCCTTATTATTAAGAAATATTGTCTTTAATAATTGCGGGGGGGTGGGGGGAGGAGTATTATCCTGTCAAATTTGCTATACTTAATTGTCCCCGAAGAATAAAAAAGCGTATCTAGGATAAAAGAAGAACTGGCGCATGGTAGAAGTTGTCATTCCCGTCTTCTATATCTCAAGATGTGCGAGATGGCTCTCATGTTGTTCTCTAGACAATACTTTAAACTACATTTCTTCAACCAGTTTCTGGCTCTACACAGGGTAATGTATATAATTTTTATTATTCAGATATTTGGGGAGAGTACCTGGAACAAAATTTCATGAAAAGACTTTTTGAAACTGGAGAAAAAATTTAAGTTTCCCTTTTTTTCTTATCTAATTACAATTTTATGTTTGAACTTTAAAAATGCCACCAAAGTTAAGAAGTCACTAACGCCTTTTGATTTTGCTAGTATAAATCATTTTCAAATTCATGTTAAATTCTAAAAAGCTGAGTCCTTTTTTATAAATAATGATTGATTGTAATATTATTAGATAAGGAAATAAACAATATTATTATTAGATAAAGAAAGAAAATATATGATATCATATCTAATTAATACTTTGTATTAAGGACCCTGTTCCTAATGTGAGATTACGAGTGGTGTCCCTCCTTCCGCAGTTAAAGAGTCTTATATCCTTGCCCTCGGACAACTCTTTACTGCAGTACTTAGAAGAGGTTGTCAAGCACTTGCTGATGGTAGAGAAGGACAGAGATGTGTTGAACTCCCTCCAGTCCTCCATCAACTCCCTCTCTGACATAGAACCAGGGATGGACGGAGTGGAATTCCCCCAGGTGGAGGAGGAGAGGGATGATGACAGGAAGCTGAGAGAAGAGAAGCTCATTGCCAACATGGAGGAGCAGATTAAGCAGGTTCAAGGGACTAAGTTTGATCAGCTGATCACACCTTCTGCTATCCCATCCAGGCTTCGGTCTCTGGGGTTGGATCGGAAAAGATCGGAGAGCTTGCCTCCCGCTCTATCCAGAGGAGAAACTCAGTTGAAGACTCGGTTCAATTCTCCAGAGCCTCCAAGATATTCAAACCTGGAGAAACAGTACTCTAAACCTTTCTCTCCTGAGCTGCAGCGTAGAGCTATCTGGACATCCCAGGATGATCCAACTGAAGAGGAGTATACCCCTCGTCCAAATTTAAACACGCCCTACTCCTCTAGTTTGGAGAACCTGGATCCAAACACACAAGAGTTCATGATTGATGCAGGGATCAAGCTCCCAACCTCTGTTGGAAATATGAGTAGTGCGGCTAGTTTACCTAATCTAACTTCAATTGGTCGGGTAACTGAGCCTTTGGTTCGATCAAACTCCATTCCAGACACACAGAGCTTGGACGGTGAGCTGTCAAAATACCTGATCAGTAACAAGGAAATGGAACAGTATGAGGCAGAGTATATCAAGGCAGCTCAGGAGGTTTCTGAAACTACTTCTGATTCTGAATGTGGACCCAAATTCCGGGGTAGGTCAGATACTAGGCTCCGACCACCTAGTTTCACCTCAGCACTCACAACTACACCCAGCAAACTGGGAGGGGAAAATGTAGATCCCAGGGTATCTTCATTACAATCTGAACATGATAAACAAGAGAATGTGAAGATGCATACATCTGTCATCAATAAATCAACCCAGTCAAGAGTATCACCGCCCAAAGAGGAGCGAGAAAGAACCCAGAAATGGAATAATGGGTCTATTGAACGCCTAGCTGAGAAGTGGGCGTCCAAGAGAGACACCCTTATTAAGGAGACTGGAGGTATGACAGAAACACTACAACAGCGCAAACTTGCAATGGAGCAAAAGCTAGAGAGTGTTAAACGAAGTATTCCCAAGCGTACCCTTGGTTTTACACCAGAATCAGTGCATAAACGACTAAGTTTGTGTGAGAAGGTTGATGAACGGGAAAATAATATTAATCTTAAAGGAAAAAGAAAGAGTCTAGATGTTGACATTGTCCTTCCTCCCACCTCCTCAGATTCAGATGAGGATGATCCCAGAATTTCTATGAAACTTGGTGAGATCAGAAACCAAGTTTCTCCAAGTCCAAGACGGAACAGAGCATCTGTATCTCCAGCTAAACATAGGATTTCTCCAGTTCCTGATCTCAAACAAATAAACATGTCTCTGACAAGAAATTTATCACCATCTCCAGGCCTGGATAGGAGTAGGATGTCTCCCTCTCCAGTAAGATTGTACCAATCCCCTGAGAGAACCATGTCCTCCCCAGTCCTAAGAAGATCTGATTTATCTCCCTGTAGAAAATCTAGTCCTGAACTTGGCTCCAGTGATTCTGATGATTCTCTTCCTCCTTATCCTTCCATTGATAAACCCAAGATTGATCAGAGTAAACCCCTTCCTCCTCCACCACCCTCTCTGGACTCTTTGTTCAACATACCTGATCTAGAGACCCCAACAATAGTATCCTCTGCCTCATCCAAATTATCTCTGATGGGTTCAGCATCTTGCAGGATGGTAACAGCTCCTAAAACCTCTGTAGCTGTAAGTAGATCAATCCCTGCTCCTCAGCGTAGTATTGCAAATTCTCTCCTTCTTCCAATCAAAAGTACACCAGAGATATCCAAAGTGAAAACTGAAAATGAATGTGAAAGTGAGTTCTCGTCCACCAACAGGATGGATAAGGTTGATATAAAGTTTAATCCTGCTCTGAAATCTAGTCCTCAATATCATCCGTCATCATCAACTAGTTTTGGAAGTCATTTGGCAAACCAGAATAATAGAATGATTCTGGGACAAAAAGTTCAGACAAAAAAGGTTCCTGGTTCTAATTTTTCAATGGAGCAAAGGAAGTCTGACATCAATACATCTCATCTGTCAAAGCTTGCATTTATTCAACAAAAACCTGAGCCTGGCTCTGAGATCACACAGCTCATGACAAAACCGACAAGCCAAATCTCTCTGCCCTCTCCGACTAAACAAAGTAGAGCAGAGAACACTCCTGCTGTTGAGAAACCAAACAAATCTGTTGTCTATATAGGAGGCAGATCAGAAGATAGAGAAGAAAGGATGATTACAAGAACGAGGGAATTGAAACCTCCCCAATCTTTGCTTACTTCCTCCTTTAAAAGAAGTCCTAGTCCAGGCGGGTTAGGCATGCAAAGAACACCTGGGTCTACAGCTTTTAAAAAGGGCAGTTTTGGGACGAAACGTTTATCCCAGGAGAATTTACTAGATCTGAACAGAAATGAGGAGCAGAGAGAATCCACTGTTAAACTTAGCGATGAGAAGAAAACATCTCAGAGTCAGGGATCAAGCAGTGAGAGTAGTAGGAGCTCCAGTCCTCCAGGGCATGATTCTGTCCTTACTCCAGACTCCTTGGAGTCCTTTAGTCCTGCAGGGACTCCTCAATCCCCAGGATCATCAGGAAGGATAAGTAGGACAGGGATTGTTGGCCCAAGGCGTTCCTCTGGAATGAGGATGTGGCAGGGACAACTGGGCTCAAGAAAAGGTGGTAAAACAAGTCCTAACATAAGCAGGAGTCCAAGTCCAACTCAGATATCTCCAACCCCTACCCGGAAAACAGAAACCCTGCCCCGAACCAACAATTCATCGAAAACATTGAACTCTCCTTCACAAGTTCAAAGAAGATCTTATGGAGGAAGCATCACTGCTCCAGGAGGAAAATACACCTCTGCTCCTGGAGCAAAATATTCCTCTGCTCCAAGCACCCCCCGGCACAGTAGAAATGATCTAAGAGGAGGAGGGAGTAGTCCCAGCAGTCCTGGTGTATCTAGGTCTACATCCCCTGCTATATCAGCAGAGTTGAGGAGAAGATCAACCCACTACCCTGTCTCTAACCAATATGAAATGAAGATAACTCCTCCTCCCCCGGCAAGAACTGTAAGTGAACGAAGTCTGTTGACATCAACACCTCTTCGTAGCTTTCAACCTCAACCTCAAAGCAGAACTCAATCCCACTCTGCACTGCAGGATCTAGATCAGATCAGGAAACCATCCTACTCCAATCCATCTCCTGGTATGCCTTCTGAAAGTCGAGGTTTCTCTCAGCCCACTTCAAGACTTAAATCTAACCTACAGGCTCCCAATAGGAAAGCTCCTCTGAGTTCTACATCTGGAATTAGGGAGTTCACTTCCTGTCAACCTCAACCAACTTCGAGTAAGAAAATGCTTCATCCTCAACCCTCTCCTCGTAATATTGCCTCTAACTCTGAATTATCCCGGATTCAGGTCAGCTCTTCCTCCCAGAGTAGAACCCAGATAGATTCCCAACCTGCTTCGACTAGAAATCAGAGCTCTTCTCTTTCTACCCAAAGCAGGATTCAACCCATTCCTCAACCTTCTCCCTTCAGGTTTCAGAATAACCCACCACCAGCCCAGAGAAGAGTTCCCCAATCTCCTCCGACAAGGATTCAATTAAACCCTTCTCCAGCTCCAAATAAGATACAAACTACTCCTCAACCTACCTCAAGGATTCAACTCTCTCCGATAAGACAAACATTTCAAGCCCCCCGCTCCGCAACCCCTCAGATCAAGAATCCTTCTGAAGTTTCTAATCTTAATAGTCCTGTTCAGCTCTTGCTTAGACCTGGAGAAAGCTGTAAACCTCAACCAAGATCTGGAGAAAGTGTTGTACCTGGATCTAGATCTGGAGCTAAACCCTCAAGGTTTGGGTTCGGATTCTCTTCTAAACTACAATAGCACTCAGAGTTAGAGGGTCCTTTGGAGTTACAATATAAAGCAATGCTAACTTCTATTAAAGATATCAAATGCCTTAATTATTTTTTTTTACTCTGAACGCAATGCTAACTTTTTTATCATCAAATTAATATTAATCATGGAACCTGATTCAAAGTAGATATATTAACATAAAACTAAAGCAAATGTCTTAAAGCCTTAATACAATCATTCTAGCCTTACAGTTACAAGTTAAGTTAGGTTAGGTTCATAATTTTCAAGGTTTTAATTATATTTATAAGCCGTCTCAAGAAAAACATGTTTTTTTGTTCTCCATGCGTGTGGTTTAAGATTGCTATGTTTATTTGTATTAAATTTTAAACTGTTCCAGTCTTCCTGTAGCTAAACTTTTATTTGTGTGCCTTGGCTGTAGTCAGTTGTTACACCGATCTTTAAAAAATGGTAAAAGCTTCTTTTAACATACTTGATTACCAATAAAAAATGACTTTTTGACGACAATCTGATTTTCATTAGACTAAAAATTAGATTTATTTGCTGAAATTTATTTGAAATAAGAATATATTCTTTTTTAATTCTGACCGGGTTCGTTAAAACCTTCACTTTAATGTCCTGTGAGGTCCCACAAAAAAAAATTGACAAACATTTTTTTATTGATCCAAACAAATCGACCAACAACGCATAAATAGAAAAAAGTTAATAAATCTGCAATGTCGTTTCTAAAGTCTTATGATTTACTGGTAACCTTCTGAAAATGATTTTTAATATGATTTTAAGTATTTACAACGAGACCGAAATAAGCATTTGAACCCCAAATTTTACATTTTAAAAGTAATTCTGAAAATAGCATTTTTTTTTACCAATCCTAAGTTTTCCGAACTTCATGTGAAATCCGTTTTCCGTCAATTTTATGTCCAGTTAAGTTTAATTAACATTTTTGCATAATAATCTAATATTTTCAACCCTTCAAGTGGCAAACTAGTCTGTCTTACAAGGTGTCTATGAAAACACCTGACAATATAATGATCAAGTTCGGATTCCTTTTTGTAAACTGATTTCTCTAAAAATGTCCGTACTTAAAATGGTAAACATAGGCTGTAAACCAGTTTTGAATACACTGATGAATCGAAATTGACATCGAAGTCGTCTTCATTGTATTTATATATATGCAACGACGACAGAAGAACATTTGTTTCGTAATATTGAACAATTAGTCAGATACATTAGAAATGACTGACAATTTGTTCAAAATTGCAGATTGTTAGGGATATAATTTGTGATATAAACCTAACATTTTCATTTAATTTCGAATAACATTTTTTGTTATTTAGAATTGTTTTCTGTTATTCCGGATTACGACATAAATGTAATGGTGCTTTTAAAAAACATTGCTTAATCAAGAAATAAAAGAAAAAACTGTACAACCTGTGCACATGTACTATGTACAATGTACATAGTACATATGTACGTAAAATATAATGCTTGCAGGACGGATTAAGTTTAGCATAACATGTTTTAATGGTGCTTTTTTCATTAAATGTTAATTATTCTGGAGTTAAATATATATATATTAATAAGAAGTTTAAATTTAATTTTTCGAGAACATTTAAATTTTTCTGTTTAGTTAATGTAAACTCATCAAGTACGTGCAGGCTGTGACAAGAGTTCTAACATTTATTCAATTGTGGTCTGCCCTTAGATTTTTATCAAGATGTCCTTTTTATAGAAATTAGAAAAAAGATGGGAGATGATGGGTTTGTCCTTATTGGAGCAGACATAGATTAATAACAATGCAGATAGAACACTAAATTTCGTCGTTTCAAGATTTAAGGGTTTTTCGTTCACAATAACCAAGAGGCAGAAGCCCAAAGGAGTTGCGCACATGCCGGGTTGCATTTAGGGCTGGGCTTCAATCCTGGGGAATGATCCCTCTTTCGCGAGAATGAACAGAATTTTCATGAACAATCACATCGTTCCGGAAAAAGAACAAACAACTTAAACGCGTTTTTTTAAATATTGGAACGATTACTAAAAGAACGAACAGAAATGGCTTGAAAGGGACATTAAAATCAGGAACGCGTTCTTATCACCAGGCACGCATTTTAAATCAGGAATGTGCAGGGGCGTATAAGGGGGGCCTGGTTGCATAGCCCCCCCTCCCAAAGATTGATTCACAACAATACCCTTCAAAGCTTTGTCTATTCAAGTATTGGATTAAATATCCATGTTTCCCGTTTTGAAAACTGATTATTTGTGGTTTCTCTATAAAAGTGATTAATGCATTTAAATTGCTTCAGAAACGATGGAGAAATGAAGGTTTCAAAGGTATAACGGACATGCCACTCTATAAATGGAGGGTCACTTGAAATTACGCATGTATTCCATTTAAGTATAATTACATCATATAAAAAAATATTTAAAAATCTCACTTTTGCCGTTAACTAAAAAGTTTCTTTAAAAAAGCTTAAATCAATACTGCCTTCAGTGTAAATGTAGATTTGATATCATTATTAATGTAATAAAACCTAGAAAAACTTGAAGAAACGTTTCAATCTGTACTTTTCACCCCTTGAAGCTTACACCACAGTATTAAATGGTAGTGTCTGATGAGTCCTCTTAAGAGAATTACATAAATAATTTATTAACGCTTGGGATGGAACCGTTCTTGACTGTAAGAACACAAAGAACGGAACGCAATAGGATGGGCCGTTCTTTGACCAAGAACACCAAGAATGGAACGTGGATGGAACGATTGGAAAAAGAACGAACGAGAACGGAACGATCTAGCTCTGGAGGCCCTCGTTCTAGAACGGTACGGAACGATTTCAAAAGGTCGGAATGTGCCCAGGCATAGTTGAATTTCAAGACAGACAGAGAGTATACGCGTAACTCCTTTGGGCGCTTGTCTCAGGGTTATTTTGAACGAAAAACTCCCTAAATCATGAAAAGACGACATCTAGTGTTCTATATGTATTTTTATTAATCAATGGGGGCATGATTACCTAGAACAGGAACTACATATCTACTAGATACTCTATGACAGAGGCGTACTCAGGAAGGGAGGGGCCTGAAAGTTTTTTTCCCCAGGGGAATGGAAAAAAAGGGGGGGGATTGGTTTCCAACGCAACTGGAATTTACTTGCGCGCAATTCCGTAATAATTACGCGCAAATAAACGCAACGGAATTGCGCGCAATTCCGTCCAATTTCTTGCGTTGTGTTTCAATTTTTTGATAAAAATTCAATTTGAACCTTATGGCACGCAATAAATATTGCAATTAATTATTACGCAATTCCTTTCAACAACAAAATATTCAATTTCAACTTTGGTAGTGGCATAAACTAAACCATGAACTTCAATAACGTTTCAGTCTCAATTGAATTTAAATAATATTTTGTTTTATAAGAAAAATCTGGCATAGGAAGACGACAGTTTAAACTCAAGCAGACCAATGTAACTGGATAAGTGACTAATTAATTTTGTTCGACTTGTAACTTTAACATTAAATACACTGCAGATGTTGTCTTTCTGTACCATAGTTTTCTGGTTCTCACTGTAGCAAAATATCTAATTTTGATTAAACGAACCTTACAATTTTAACCAAAAAAAGTTTCCATTTAAATTTTTATCCAATGTGAACAAATGACAAATGTATCATATTAAATTGTTAATTAGTATAGCTTAACCACAAGAAACTTTAAAATTTGAAAACTATTGAAACAATTGACACTCAGGCCTCGATTATTTTGAAATCAACAGAGATATTTAATTCCATTCTTGTATCTAAAAAAAATTATTGCCCATCCGTCCTACAAAAAGTGCCCATCCGACATACGAAATATGCCCGTCCAACCTACGAAATATGCCCATCCGACCTACGGAAAATGCCCAACCGACCTACGAAAAATGCCCATCCGACCTATGAAAAATGCCCATCAGACCTACAAGAAGTACCCATCTGACCTACAAAATCATGAGTGGCCGTCCGACAGCTACAACTAATTATTTCTACCCTACTGCTGAATAGGTCTGATGGGCAATAAGATATGCCCATCCGACCTACAGCTGTCGTAGGTCAGATGTTTCAGTAGGTCGGATGGGCAGTAGAGCGCGGATAAACATTACCCATAATTACACTTGACATAATACTCTTGCCATAAGTAACACTTGCCATAAGTTATACTTGCCATAAGTCACACTTGCCATAGTTAGACTAGTGATAATGGTTACACTTGCCATAATTACACTGGCTATCTATTGTCATAATTTTCTCATTTAAAAAAAAATGAAAATCTATTGGAAATGTTCGGTTAAAATGTGCTCAGCTTGGAATTCGAACTGTCTCTGAATAAGATTTGTAATTTCTATTTAATTTGTAACTTATGGCAAGTGTAATTTATGGCAAATGTATTATGGAAAATGTAATTATGGCAAAAGTATTATGGCAAATGAAACTGAGTCACTTTTACCCTATGCATTAAAAAAAAAATTTGGCTAAAAATCCGTTAAAATCGCAAAATTTCACCGTGATAGTGTCGAAAATGAGAGTGCTAGGACAAAAAACATCCCCCCCAGCCTGTATTCGAACCCGAATTCGAACTGTCTCTGAATTAGATTTGTAATTTGTATTTAATTTGTAATTTAAAAAAAATATGTATATACGTTTGTCAATAGTAACCAAATCTAATTTTTATTATGGCAAGTGTAATTATAGCAAGTGTAATTAATGGCAAGTGTTACTAATGGCAAATGTATCATGGCAAATGTAATTATGGCAAAAGTATTTATGGCAAAAGTATTATGGAAAATAAAACTGAGCCACTTTTTACCACTCTGTGCCCTACCCTATGCAATAAAAAATATTTTGTTAAAAATCTGTTAAATTCCTATTCATGAAAAGTCGCAAAATTTCACCGTGATAGTGTCGAAAATGAGAGTGCTAGGACTAAAAACGTCCCCCTTCCCCCAGCCTATTTATGGTTAAGTATAATTTTATTTTAATCCAATGGTTTTTATTCACACACAAAGATATAAATACATATATAAATGGTGTAGTTAAAATTTGTTTAAATAATTTTTTTTTGAAAATACAGGTTTCCAAAAGAAAAGGGAAAAAAATATGCAAAATTATGCACAAATAGAAAATATTGATTTTTTACTCACTACATAACATATTTATCATTTCAGTTATTACGTAATCATTGAATCCTTCAACATATAAATATTAAATTATTCATTTTTGTATTTAAAAGTTCTTGTAAAACCGGAACTTTCCATTCATGTTCCAATGGGACATCAAAATATTTCATTTGTTTCTTAACTAACATTTTACTANAAACCATCGTTAACAACCTAAATGTTAACAAACAGTATAATTAATAAAAAAAAATATTTAAATACGGAACGAAAATTTGTGGAACAGAGTGATTTTGAAAGGTACGAAAGCTGACCGAACAAACTAAAAGAAACGAAAGCTGACAAAACAAACTAAAAGAAACGAACCTTGAACGAATAAACTAAAAGAAACGAATGCTAACCAAACAAATTAAAAGAAATGAACGCTGATCGAACAAACTAAAGGATCGAACCTTAACCGAACAAACTTAAAGAAACTATAAAAGCTGACCGAACAAACTAAAAGAAACAAATGCTGACCGAAAAAAACTAAAAGAAACGAACGCTGGCCGAACAAACTAAAAGAAACAAACGCTGACCAAACAAACTAAAAGGAACAAACGCTGACCAAACAAACTAAAAGAAACGAACGCTGGCCGAACAAACTAAAAGAAACAAACGCTGACCAAACAAACTAAAAGGAACGAATGCTGACCAAACAAACTGAAAGAAACGAACTCTGACCGTTGACCAAACAAACTAAAAGAAACAAACGCTGACCGTCGACCAAACTAAAAGAAACGAACCTTGAACGAATAAACTAAAAGAAACGAATGCTAACCAAACAAATTAAAAGAAATGAACGCTGATCGAACAAACTAAAGGATCGAACCTTAACCGAACAAACTTAAAGAAACTATAAAAGCTGACCGAACAAACTAAAAGAAACAAATGCTGACCGAAAAAAACTAAAAGAAACGAACGCTGGCCGAACAAACTAAAAGAAACAAACGCTGACCAAACAAACTAAAAGGAACAACGCTGACCAAACAAACTGAAAGAAACGAACTCTGACCGTTGACCAAACAAACTAAAAGAAACAAACGCTGACCGTCGACCAAACAAACTAAAAGAAATGAACGCTGACTGAACAAACTAAAAGCCCTCGTTTATTAACCAATAGTTTCCAAAAAGAAAAGCATGCCCAGCCTAAATCCATATCAAGTAACCTAGTTTCCTATTTTTGATTAGTATCTTGTTTATTGATTAATTGGGTAATGATTATATATTTATATAAACCTAGGGGTGTTTATTCTTTTATTAAAAAACTGTCCCATTCATATTGTTGTAAGAAAATATAAATATTATTAAAAAGATATATTTTTATCAATTAAAAGTGTATCCCTGAATTTAGTAATAGTTATGGATTATTGTCAGTTTCACTTATGGGCCGGGGCTTACAAGAAACATTATTTAATTGTAGGTTTTTTTTAATGTAAAACAGAAAGAAATTAATAAAACATGGAAGCTGTTCACAGTATTTTGTGATGTTTGTAATTTCCCAAAGGCCTTTACCCAAATGTGCTTATATTTCCCAAGCGGCAACTTCCCAAGACTGCACAAACCGCAGCGCTCGGCCAACCATTGCAGCCTGCGGCGCCCAGAAGGCCTATCCTAACCTATAGGAAGTTGCCGCTTGGGAAATTGCACATTTAGGAAGAATTGTCACTTGGAAAGTCGCCTTTGGGAAAATGCCTATGGGAAAGTACCTATATCACCGTATTTTGTTGTTTGTATTTGTGGTTGTGAGTTGTGAGTAACGGACTATTGATAATTAATTTTGAAATAAAAAACGCCTGGAATTATATGATAAAAGGAATTGAGTCTTTGCAACGAGCTCAAATGTTCGAATCCCTAAATCTTTGGAAGCTGATGGAGTTCACTTTTGATATTTCAAACTTAAATTATTTGATCTAACTTAATTTTAAATATCTAAGATCTGCAACATTAGGTCGTAAAGATTTAGGGATAGGAAAATTAGGGGTTGTGGCAAAGACTCAATTCATTTCCTCGTTAAAAAAAAATTCGAGTGGTTAGCAATATCTGTTTGGGTGTCTGTTTGTTTGTCCGATCGATCTTCAATCAGCAAACCCCTGGACCGATTTGCCTCAAATTTAGACGAAGGAACTCGGGAGAGCCACGGGAATGTTCTTAGCTTAGTTTTGCGATTCTAAGTTGAGTGGGTCGGGGAAAATAGTTAAGATCGTAATTTACGACAAAGCGCGGGTAATCAGTGGGACTAACTATGACCCACCTGTGCAACGCTAGGTCCCCAACCTAGTCATAAACAAAATAGAAATTCAAAAAATGCTCAAACATATTCACATATATATAACTAGTTAAATTGCCCGTCGTTGCCCGTGAAATTTTTCAAAATCGAATTTTGGAAAAAAATCTGATTTTGAAAAAAAATAAGCTAACATAAAAAAAAATATATATATATATGAACGATGACATAAACAATACTTAGATGATACAACGATGAAATGCAATATGGATTTCTACATCTATTTGGGATTTGGTGGGGGGTCGCTTCATTTATAAGGTAAAATTAACATTAATAAAATGCATTCTTAATTTACAGTTTTTATATATATAAATATATTGACCGAAACTGTCGTTTATATGCAGTATGGACAATCAAAGTACTAAAACTTGCTAAAGTAATAAATTAAAAATCTTTGCATTGCTAATCCACAAAAAAGTGATTTTTGGGCTTTTTTCTTTTCAATTTAGCAAAAAGTCTTTCTAACTTTTTTTTAATAATATAATATAATATTTTCATTAATATTTCAACTGTTCAGTCTTCTGCTCTATTTCTCCTATTTTTTATCCACGGACGGCTGGTAATTATTTTTTTGTTTTTAAATTATTAAAATAGATTGATACAATATCTTTGATTTTTTCCTTTTTTCCAATTAAAGATGGGAATTTAGAGACGACCTTAATGCTTTTTTTCTGATTGAGTATGAATTATATAGATATCAATGTTTTTATTTTTAAAAACTGATTTTTTTATCTGATGATTCTCTACAAAATTTAAATTAACGGAATTTAAGAATTTTTTAAGCTAGACAAACGACGTTATCTTCCACACTATTGATCAGATTAAGGTTTAAAGGGTTCATGGAGGGTTACTTTCAAGGGAGTGAGTGAACTAGACATGGTAGTTGAGCTGAGAGTGCAGTATTGTAGAGCGGCGCCACAACCTGCCTAAGGGCGAGCGCCTGGTGGATTTTAAAGATCGATTTTGCGCTCTTATATAGCAAATAGATTGTTAAGCACAATACATGGCAACGTTACACTCTCAGTACAGCTGTATTCTTACATCACAAGTGTCAAATCAGTTTTGTGTCCGACAAAATTATTGATAATAGTGATAATTTTAGAATAAAGAGCTTATCTTTCAGTGAAAAAGGTCCATTTTTTGTGTTATTTATTTTCTGTTTTTACACTTTTTTATCTAATCTTGAAAAACATGTCAACTAATGGGAGAAAATTTCGTTTTCCTTGTTATATTTGACACTTGTGACGTCATGTATAATTGGTTCATTTCTCTGTTGCCACCTATTGTACTTGATAATCTATTTGGTATTTAGCAATTATTCACGATATGCACAATACTGATCTCTCAGCTCATCTACCGTCCATATCTAGCTAGACTGCACTCCCTTTAAGAAAAGTATCAAGTTTTATTTCTGATTTGTTTTGTTGAGGAACTGGTTCTGTTTGATGAGAGAGGAAGTGGATGAGAGGGATGAGGAGGAAGAATTTGAACCTGGGGACAGGATAGGAGATGCAGCAATCGAGGTAAACCCAGGGTTGACTTTGGATGCGCTCCAATGTACGGGAACTGTCGTCTTCATAGCAATGGACACTCAATCAAAATCCTCATAATGAAGAAACTGCTTATTGGCGTAAGATGAAGTGACAACGTTAATGCTGAGAGATGGGGGGAAGGATTTTCTCCGCTTATTAGCTGTAAAAGGCGGAGAAAATCATTCCCCCCCTTTTACCAACAACATTGTCACTTAATCATATTTCTCTTTAAAAAAATTGTTAAGAAAAAACAAAACACAAACTTGGCCGAAATTGTATTAATTTCAATTTATTTAAAAACAATTCATTAAAATTACTTATTTTTAATCAATATCTAATCATGCAGACAAGAAAAGGTATTGAAATCATACATGAAGAATTAAATAAAAAATGAATTTACATTTTTATTGTTGATAATTCCAGGAAGAAGATGGTATATTTACAGACTGGTCAAAGGAACATGGATAAAATGACTTATATTCATTATTTATATTCTTTTCCTATAATACTAACGTCTCGTCTGCTCCAATCACCCTCAGAAAGTGCAATCTGCTTCAAAGGGCGTACGAGGAGAGGGTGGGGGGGTTGCCCCCCCCCGCTACGCGTGCACCCCCTGAGGGGGGGGGCACCCATATAAAAAATACTTTAAAATGTCACTTTTGCCCTTAACTAAAAAGTTTCATTAAAAAAGCGTTAATCAATACTGCCTTTAGTGTAAATATATCTTAGAGATCATTATTTATAATAACGATATATATCGTTTCTATGAAAAGATAGATATTTTTTAAGAAACGTTTCCATCTCTATTTTGCACACGTTGAAACTTTCAGCAAAGTATTAAGAGGGAGTGCCTGATGAGTCCACTTAAGAAAATTATATAAATAATTTATTAACACTTGTTATATGGAAGTGTGTATATGATCAAAAAGTTTACATAGTTAAAAAAGGTATCATTTTTTCTCAAAAAAAAGGGGTTTTTAAGGGGGGGCACAATGTTGTCCCCCCCCCCTCTACACAAATGCTCTCGCACGCCCCTGTCTGCTTCCTCTCCAATGAGCTATTAACTGTTGAACTCAAATTACTGGAAGGTATTAAAGCCCATTTTTGTTGAAAAATTTGAATAGGCTCAGACCAATACTGTTAGAGGTATTTCCAAGAAACGAAGGAATAGAGCTAACATTAAAAAATATAAACTTTATAGAGATAATTTTCTTCAGTTGATAAAATTTATCCTGATTATTTTGTGAAGAAGTATTCTAGTGAAGCCGACATTCAAAACGAGGTAATGAGAACATTTTTCATTAAACTTAAAAATTAATATTTTGGCTCTAGCACAACATTTTTGTTATTGTTTTACATTAAGGTTTTTTTAACGAAACGTTTGACAAGTGTTACGCCTGACATACTTCCTTTCAATGTCACTATTACTAACCTTTTTTAATGATATTTAACATGACAGAATGTTCCCCAGAATCAATAAGTTTATTCTTTTTCTCCTTTGTCAAATCTATAATCGCGATTTATGATATTTTTCAAAGCTTTAAAGTAAAATTTTTTTTCTGTGTGTTTATTTTAAAGAAATAGGATCAAATGTAGCAAACCGCATCATTTTCAGTATTCAGCGGTAGTTTTCACAACTTGAGTTATAATTATAAATTTTTAGTTTGTTTTCAAAAAAACTGCCAGAATGCTTTAATATTTTCAATTTTTCACGAAACTAACATATTAACATGACGCTGAAAATTGATTAGATGGGTAAAGTAGCTAAATCTTTATATTCCCAGGTTCTCTTTTCTCGAAGTAGTCTTAGACAAGATAATCTTTCAGCTGAATTAACGGATAATCTGGAAGGTCAACTGGAGAGTTTTGAAGAACATGAATATATTAATCATCATAACGTTTTAAACACATATACCAACACAGAAGGAAAATGTACTTATGATCATTATTTGAAGAAAAATAAAGATCATTTTGATGATGATCATGAATCACATCAAGAGCATAATGATGATTATAATGAATCACATCAATATGATAATGACGATTATGATGAATCACATCAAAATCACATCAAGGATAATGATGAATCACATCAAGATCACATCAAGGATAATGATGAATCACATCAATATGATAATGAGGATTATGATGAATCACATCAATATGATAATGACGATTATGATGAATCACATCAAAATCACATCAAGGATAATGATGAATCACATCAAGATCACATCAAGGATTGTGATGAATCACATCAAGATCCCATCAAGGATTGTGATGAATCACATCAATATGATAATGACGATTATGATGAATCACATCAAGATCACATCGAGGATTGTGATGAATCACATCAAGATCATATTTATGAATATGATAAATCATATCAAGATCATATTAAGGATATTGATGAATCAATTCAAAATCATAATGAGGATTATGATGAATCACATCAAGATCATATCAAGGATTATGATGGACCCCCTCGTATGAATGATCATTTAAAATATGTTGATTTCTATGACAGTTCTCATTATGAAAATATTCAAATTGTTTATTACGACGAAGATCACAATGATCAAGAAAATGATTCCGATGACGATATTGAAGATGATGATGATCGACACAGTGATGTTAATTATGATGGTGATTACGATGATGAATAGATATGTCATTGATCATGATCATTTTTCTAAAAGTGAGGGCTAAACTTTTGAATGAGAAAGCGCTCAGCTTCAGTGATCGCCTAAAATTGATAAATCTGGATTCAACTTTTAAATTGAGGGGTTTAGCACCTTGAATTAATGGAAACTGTTCATCCCTGGTAAATTATGTTTGAGTTTAGATTACTGAAAGAATTGAAGATGAATTCAATGTCAAAGGTTGAACTGTCGAAGGAACAGAGCGTTGAATTAAAATTCAAAAGTTTGCTCCTCTGATTGGAAAAAGAAAGTCGACTATTTTGATAAAATTTATTGAATAAAACTTAAACTAATCGTCTTCATCCGCATCTGTCATCAGACGAAGAGAATGTTTTCCCGTAACTGGAATATCGCTTCTAATAATAAATAAACCATTCTTTTTAAAGTTTTGATTCGAAAACTTATAATAAATGTTATTTTTTTACTTTTTTTAATTTTTAATTTTTTTATTTAATACTTTTTTAAGTAAATGGTTTTCCTTTGAACAGTTTTGTAAAGAGATGCGAACCCATTCTGTTTTTCCACTCTTTTAAAATAAAATAAAAATGTGCACTAATTATATAAACAATTTTTGTGTCTTGTGTGCTAATTAAGGACAAAATTAATTTTTATTAATCTTATAAACCTTGTTCTTTGCACAAAATCCAATAACTTGATAAAATTGTCTGAAGTCACATTTGAAATAGTAACCTGAAATTATTAAATATATTTAAAAACATTCTGTTGAATTTTTTCATTCATAATTTGTAATTATCTATGAATCAAAACATGATCCATTTTTAAGAAGTTTGGATGAAAAAAATATATGGAGAACTCAAAAACTGTGGAATGAATACCAAATCTTAAGCGACGTTTTATAATTGAATGAAAAAGAAAGAGGGCGAATATTACTTTTTTAATTAAAAGCTTAGAATTACTGTAACAGTCCCTTTAAGTATGATTTAACCATTAGAAGTATTTCTAACAGAAACAAAATGATTATAATTATTTATTTTGAACCAAGACAGATATCAGTAGGGTTTCCAGCGAACGAAAAGGGTACCGAAATTTCGCGAAAATTTTATTTCGTATTTCGCAAGCTTTTTTTGCGAAAAATTTAGCTTTTTTGAAAAATTTCGCATAAATCTGATTTACGAAAACATGCTTGTTTTGTCACGCAAAACAGATTAATGAGAAATTTCGCAAAAAAAAGAACATTTTTTTCCACGAGAGGATTGCGAAAAAATTATTTCTAGGAAACCGGCCCTTGATATCTGATAACTATAGTTCCAACAGTTTAAAAATATATATTTTTAAAATAAAATTTTCAAAATATAAAGGTTTCAAAGAAAACTATAACAACATGTTTCAATTAAAAGCTTTCTACGATCCAAGACAATTTTTGAAGTCTTCGCTCAATTTCTACATTTATAGAATTTCTGGAAATCAAAAAACGTTGTTAGACAAGTTTTTTTGACTGAAAAGAAAATCTTAAAAATTGAAAATATTTTTTAAAAATATCACCTCAACAATATATTTAAAAAGAGATTCTGCTGCTTTCTCCTCGCAGTCCAATACTTTTTTATCCCTCTATTACCGCCAATGAATAATTTATTCAAAATTAAAAAATTTGTAAATATTGTGTTGACCAAATTTACTGCCTGAATCCACCCTCCCGCACTATGATTTTGCCCTTAGAGTAAAGCTATAGTGTTAACATTTGACAATTGTAACTTTTTGCTGAATATGATCTGTTTAAACCTACAATTTCTATACAAAATTGTATATATACGTTTTTTTGGAAATTTTAGACAGTTTCATATCAATTTCTCGAGACAGGAACATCAGATATAACTTTTGTGAGTTGCGATAAGAGCTAAAGTGATTAGCTTAGCTTTATAGCTTTCTGCAGCCTATAATCCCTTTCATTTTTCCTATACAGTCCTTTTACAAGGCCGGATACGGTTAAAAAGGATACCCCAGCTAGTATTTAATATCAAGTATTAGATATAGACAAAAGTATGTAACGAAGTTAAAAGTCAATTTAAAACTATATACATATATAGAGATGACATAGCAGTTCTAAAATCAAATCTCTCACTTCGACCCAGGCAAGTGATATACAGATGATTCTTTAGCCTTCCTTGAAGAATGTGATTTTCTTTAAGTTAAACTCTTGATTCAGATTTCTATAGATTCGTCTACAATAATTAAAATAGGATAAAGCTAATTTTTTATGTCAAACTTCTTGAACATTTGATTTGCGGACTTTTTTTGCGGACTTTTTTTGCGAACGTTTGCGGATCTTTTGCGCAAAAGTACAATAAGTTATGAGCATTTTTTGCGTCACAAGAATCTGAAATTCTTGACTCACAGTATATCTTTAAGTTTGTTTTTGTTACATTTTTATCTGACTGATGATATTAAAAAGAATGATTTTCATATCATTTTATCGAAACTTTTTGAAATTTATTTTGGTAAATATTTTTGGTCAAAGCAGAATTTAAAATAGTAAATAATAAAAGAGAACTTATAAACATAAAGCTTTTCTCGAATACTATTAAAACCGTTAAGGTTTAGAAACGACCAAGACAACTGCCCATCCTTCGTTATGGAAACTACAGTCGTCGTCGTGTAAATCAGTAGAATGAAGACGACTTTATATTTGAACTTTTGATTTCTACCAATCTTTCAAACAGCAGTTGCCACATAAACAAACGGAAGTTGTTAATCAACAGCTTTTCTTTATTTACTTATAAACTTGAAATTTGAATTTTAAAAAATGCTTCTTAGGAATCAAAGCATTATTTATAAGAAGTCGTCTTCATTGTACTGATATAATCGCAGACCATTGTATTTTAACTCGACATTTGGCATTACATTTTTTAGAAAGTTTGTTTCTCAGATAATTTTTTGTGCCATTTAGATTTGGATTGTATGCAAGACAATATTTGATGATGGTATTTACCAAGGGCAGCCGTAGTACATTTGAATTTCCGGGTCAACCTTTCCGTTCCCAGTTTGTACTGTACCTAGATCTATGGACAGGACTAACCAGTGCAACAAGGTTGACGCGGTCAGACTTTATGCTTCATATAGGTTGAATATTTACTTTTACTATAAAGGGGCAGAGGTGCGTGTTACTGGCACATAATTCTATTCTAAGAATTAGGTATCAGAAAATAAAGAATAAATTTATATATTTGCTATAAAAAAAATGTTACCTTGCCCCAGTCCAATATCTCCAGGTCTTCTCTTTAAAATATAAAAAAAATTTCAATACTTTTATAAATTTGTTTTATTTTATAAATTTCAAGATTAAAAGATAAGTTTTGAAAAGACAAAGTAAATTTCAGTGATTGCCAAAATCGCAGAACGTTAATTACTTTTTTATAATGTTTTATAGATATATGTTTATTCTTAAAATTTTCAAATATATTCCTAGTTTAATCTCGTTATTTTGCTCTATTGTTGGAAGAGTGCAGAAACAAAGTATTATTCTATATTCTTCATCATTTACTTCTTCTTCACTACTACCAAACAATTTTATGAAAGTAATTAAAAATATTTGAAACAAATTGTGGGCTACAAAATCTTTGCAACCAGGGACCAAAGGAATTAAATCTTTCCCACAAACTCAAATTTTCTAGTCTTTGAAACCCAATAATATAAACCTTTGATATTTCAAACTTAAATTATTTGATCTAACATAGTTCATAGTTTTAACTATATCTAAGGTTTACAACTTTGTTTGTAAAGATATGTGGGTTAGAAAAATAAAAGACTGTTGCAATTTCTTAGCCTCGAACTTGAATTTTCTTTATATCTTTGCAACCTGCCATTTTAGATATTTGACTTTTTAAACTTTGAACCATGTTTTATCAAATATTCGACATTTGAAATACTAAATGGTTACACCATCAGGTTGCATAAAATAAGGACGAGAAAATATTAGGCTAGTAAAAGGAATTGATATTTGGGACACTCCTGTATGCCGGTCCATTAGCGCCTGATCCAATCAGGGTTCAGTCATGTGTTTTTTGTCTATTCTGAACCAATAGAAAGAGTATGGCGGTAACAACTATCTTTCTATCTATCTCATTATCCAATCAGAGTTATGATTCCTTTAATCAGCGCTATCAGTAAATGGAAATATTTACTTCTACTGAAACACAATGGTGGGGAGACTTTGTTGAAATTGCAAAACTTTTTATTTTTGTGATAATTACCCTTCTTTTTGATTGTCTGGACAAATGCTTTTGATCTCTCTAAATAAACCTAAAAGTAAACATTTTGGTGGTCATTATCCTTACAAATAATGTTGTAATCTTTGTCTGTTTGTTTGTATGTCCGATCATAACTCGAGAATCCCTTGAACACTTTGCCATAATTTTGTTTGGTAAGCACGGTAGAACCACATTAGAAGCTACAGGGGGTAGGGGAGGGGTGTTGGTGTAGATAATGCTTTATTGTTTGCAAGTTTAGTTTGACCTCTTTGTATTTTGACTTCCAATCCTTTTCTTCCTCTGAACACTTTAAACTCATTGTCCTCCCAGTCTAATTAAAAGTTATAAAATATAAACAAACGTTAAAATTTCAAAAAAGGTCTAAAATAAATAAAACCAAACAAATTTTGAGAAACTTAAAATTTGAGAAAACAATTTTTTTAATCCTACACCTTAAAAAAAACTGTAATTTTTTTATACAGTGAAACCCTTAATAACGAATACATCGAAAGAATATATCAAATGTCGTCTTGACAATTTTTCAGCGAGTTTTATACTATATTACGTAAATTTCAGTATTTGCGAAAATAAATAAATAGTCATGAATATGCGGGAACAGTTTTAAAGAGTTCCATATAATCATTTAATTAAAAAACTAAATATCTGCAACATTCCATTATCAGAAAGTGAAGAATACGACATTTGATGAATTCTTTCGATGTATTTGTTATTAAGGGTTTCACTGTACCAATCTTGAATATATTTCTTTTAAAATCGAGTATTTAACATGTTGTGCTTCTTTTTACCTTTTTGTTGTTCATTATTAGCCTTGATTGGCTGAACTTGTTGTATTTGCTTTGTCTCGTTTACAAGCTCGGCATCAGTCTCTTGATTTTCATCAGTCAGCTTTGGCGGAAGGCGGAGTTTGTTCAGTTTTGCCGCGAAAAGAGTTTTTGGCACATTTTTAGCCTTTTTAGGGAGCGTGTAGATAATAGGCGTATAAACTGAAAAAAAACTACAGAGTGTCCCAAGAAATATGGGAGTTAAGTGACAAATACGAAATCTTCTGTGATAAAAATCAGCGCTGTATTACAGGGTGTCTCAATAAACATAGGAATTAAGAGACGTATAATAAATCGTTTTTGATAAGAGTTAGCGCTGTATTACCTAATTTCAATGATCATAATATAGTTACGCCTGTTAGAGTATATTTTATTTAAACTGTAAAAGGTATTGTGTTGATAGTCTGAAAAACGTTGTAAATAATGTTCTGTAAAATTTCTGCAAGATAAAAATTGAACAGAAACAACTTTACTCTGATGTTTGTAAAAAATACTTCATTTTATAAAGTACAGTTAACAGTATGCAATATAAACATAAACAAAGAAATTCTTAACCCTAGCTCAGACGAAACATCTGGGAATTGAAGTTTTTCATTGTACTACTCTAAATAAAAAAATCATTTACAAAGAAGATATCAAAATTGTCACTAAATTCCCATGTTTATTGGGATACCCTATATTAATGTCGATCAGTGGAAAATTAATAATTTTGACCTGATTTTTCAACTGACATCAAACAGCTGGCACTGGATGTGGGATATCTAAAATATTTCTATTTTTAAAAAATACTTATTACTTTTTTGCAAGGTATACAGTTAAGCCCTAAATAAGCCATACATCGAAAGAATTCATCAAATGTCGTATTCTTCACTTTCTGATAATGGAATGTTGCAGATATTTAATTTATCAATTAAATGATTTTATGGAGCTCTTTAAAACTGTTCCCGCATATTCATGGCTATTTATTTATTTTCGAAAATACTAAGATTTACGTAAAATAGTATAAAACCCATTGAAAAATTGTCAAGACGACATTTAATAAATTTTTTCGATGTATGGCTCATTTAGGGTTTAACTGTATATATAAACACAAGGTCCGGGTATAGTGTCTGTTTACATTTTACTGTGAAGTTTTTTGATAAATTAGTAACTGTTTTAGATATATCTGTATCAAGGCGTTTTGACAATTAGAACAAGAGAATGTTTAAAATAACTGTTTAAAAACACCATTATTTTGGTTAGAATTTTGTTATAAAGTTTTTGGACAGAAATTTTCTCTTTATCGAGAAGGTTCAAGCCTTAGCGAGGAACAAAACCTTAAGGTGTAAACCTTTGAATTTTGATATTACAAACATAGACAACTTGATCTAACAGAATTTTTTGTTTGAAATATCAAAGATCTACAACAATGGTTTGCAGAGATATAAGGATTAAGAAATGAGAGTTTGTGGCAAAAACTCAGTTTCTTTAAGTCCAAAAACTTTATAACACGTCTTGCCAAAATAATGGTGTTATAGGTAGTTTTATGAAACGTTTGTTTACTTGTCTTATTGCATTGGCTATTTCATAGGTAAAATAAGCAGAAATAAAAATACAAAGTTAATTTTTATTTTATTTTCATTTATATTGAAATATTTGTTTGGAAATATCCTAAATTTGTTAGAGAAAATCCGGGAACCAATCAAAACTTTATAGCACACGTCACGTTCTACAGCTGAAAGTTGTACAGCTGAAAGTTGTACAGCTGAAAGTTCTTAATAAAATTCACCATGAAGTGAATAAGTATGATAAAGTTTGCACAATAGTTTTATTAAATGATTAAAACGTCTACTTGAGTTGTAGTAGGGCAAACTCACATTCACTTAACCATTCTTCACTCCATCTAAATTGAAAAGGAAAAAACGTTTAAAAAATTCTAGGATGTAAAAAAATCTAAAGATTGAATAAAATTTTAATATAAAATATGTTTAGCAGTCATGAAAAAGTGATTAATTGATTTTTGTTCTTCTGAGACTGTAAAGACGATATGAAACTCTTAATATTTGACAACCTTCTTCAAAACTTTATTAATGGGTTTTTGAATATTTATGTGTACCTAATTAAGTACTAATATTAATTTTGTTAATACTTATTTTTATTTCTACGTATATAAATGTGAACTTGTACAATGTGCTAAGCAGCATATTTTGGGTTACCCACTAAGGATAAGACTTCAGAGATGCAATTGTACTGAACAAAATTTTGTACTGAACATTTTTTTAGTCCGTTTTCTTGTATTTGGGGCCGGCCGGTTCCTTTCAGACCAAAACTGGCTTGTTTCTGTGCTTAATCCTTTTGTAAACCTTCAAAATAACATTAAATTGGATAAAGAAATAAAAAATCAAGCTTCAAAGTCACATTTTGTAAGAGTCTTGTGTCGTCTTTATAGACTTATTCTTTATGGGTAACCCTGTAGCATTAAACGAAGACGACTTTTATTACAACCTTATTTTCGCAGATTTACCTTGTGTTTCTATTTGGTTGGAAGAATGAGTAATAAATCTCTGATCCACAATCAGAAGATAATTCTCGTAATTTTCGAACAGCTTTCAAACAGAATACTACAAGAAATAAAAATTCATCTAAACCATGAAACCATTTTAACGTGCTATTTAAACGGACTGTAAGCGAAATTTCAGGTGATCAACCATGCACAAATTGCAATGATTGAAAACTTATTAAGTTGAATTGCTGAAGAAATAATTATAAGATTTAAACCTAGAAAAACAAGTAATTAGGATCCATTGAAAGAATTCATAAAATGTCGTAAACCTAACTTACTGATGCCGAAACTTAATACATTTTAACCATGGTTAAATAGGATTCTAACCATAGTAAAATGAATGAAGACGACAGATTTTTCTAACCATGGTTGATTTTAACCATGGGTAAAATTATTGTAATAGTTTTCGGCATCAGTGCAGCTCGGATTTTTAACCCTAAGTCTCCCTAAGCTAGGGTTAAAGTGGGTTTAACCATGGTTCAATTGACGCGCTTTCTAGTTTTAGACTAAAGTTTCTCGATATCAACAGGATCTTGGTACATAAATACACAAATGATCTGAGCTTCTCATCAAAATTATTGCATTGCTTAGAAAAATAAAAAAAAAGGTGCTATTTAGTTTGAACTACTGCCGTTTGAACTATTGACTTTGTGAACTATTGGTCGTTTTAAACTATTGTACGTGGAACCCAGGTTTAGCTGTATCAGAAAAGAAAAAGACGTTAAAAGATTCAAAAATTATGAATTTTAGTTGATCCTATATTCAATTTAAACGTTTGCCTCCCTTCAAAATCATGAACATTACTTTTATCAAATTATACAAGGCTTATAGGGCGCTTGCGCGAGCGTGCCCATCTTCAATTGTAAAAAATGTTCTCTTTGTTTACATTGTAAAACAAAAACAAGAAAAGTTTGTTGGTTTTATTGAAAGAAATTCGTTGATTTTTAAAATTTAATGAAAATAGAATTTGGTTGGTGGCAAATTTTTGAAATTTTTATCATCCATAAACCTTCCCTGGGGATATGTAAATTGTATAGTCCCAAACAGAATTTGGGCCCGATCGGTTCTTGCCGATTTGACAATAATTGGATACAAAGAAAACTAACAGACAAGTAAAGTATATAAACTGTCAAATTGTCAAACCTGGATTATTCTTTTCTCCCTTCAAGCTAGGTTTTTGTTCCCCTTTATAGCCCAGTAATAAAGGGGAAACATTATTACTCTCCCCCTACAATTATATATTTATTAATAAACTTAGTTTTCTGGGGCCTCAACTTGAAGGAAATAAAGTTGTTATTTTATGTGACCTTTCATTTAAAAATAGGGGCGTGCCTAATTCACAACGGGACCCTTTAAACCTTTATCGGATCAAAATTGTGGAAAATATCGTCGGTTTTCTTGCTTGAAATTCCTGCTGTTTCTGAAACAGAAACCACAGTTGAAGATAATAAATTTTCAAGGATATCTCATGCATTGATCAGACAGAGATTTTAAGGGTACTGCTGTCATTTCCTCATGTAAATCTGTAAATTTAGAATTAATTACATGAAATTACATGTAATATAATAAAATTATAAAAACTTCTGAAATTTTAAGAATAAATTTTCCATAAACAGTGATAGGAATAGGAATAGGAATAGGAATAGGAATAGGAATAGGAATAGGAATAGGAAAAGGAATAGGAATATGGATTAGGAATAGGAATAGGAATAGTAATAGGAATAGGAATAGGAATAGGAATAGGAATAGGAATAGGAATAGAAATAGGAATATGGAATAGGAATAGGAATAGGAATAGGAATAAGGAATAGGAATAGGAATAGGAATAGGAATAGGAATAGGAATAGGAATAGGAATAGGAATAGGAATAGGAATAGGAATAGGAATAAGAATATGGAATAGGAATAGGAATAGGAATAGGAATAAGGAAAAGTAATAGGAATAGGAATAGGAATAGGAATAGGAATAGGAATAGGAAAAGGAATAGGAATAGGAATAAGAAAAGGAATAGGAATAGGAATAGGAATAGGAATAGGAATAGGAATAGGAATAGAAATAGGAATAGGAATAGGAATAGGAATAGGAATAGGAATAGGAATAGGCATAGGAATAGGAATAGGAATAGGAACAGGAATAGGAATAGGAATAGGAATAGGAATAGGAATAGGAATNGTACAATCCATGAATAATCCGTGTACAATCCATGTAAAATCCATGTACAATCCATGTACAATCCATGTACAATCTATGTACAATCCATGTACAATCCATGAATAATCCGTGTACAATCCAAATAAAATCCATGTACAATCCATGTAAAATCCATGTACAATCCATGTACAATCTATGTACAATCTACATAAAATCCAACCTTCACTACTGATGAAATAGAAGACCAGATTTTCTTCTTTTTCTTCTCAACTAGACTTTTTGTAATCGTAGTTTCACATTGATCCGTTCCTCTTTGCTCATTCTAGATTAGAGATTAGAGATTAGAGACAGATATTTAAGATATTTCAAATCGGATTCTAGATTAGAGATTAGAGACAGATATTTAAGATATTTCAAATCGGATTCTAGATTAGAGATTAGAGACAGATATTTAAGATATTTCAAATCGGATTCTAGATTAGAGATTAGAGACAGATATATTTAAGATATTTCAAATCGGATTCTAGATTAGAGACAGATATTTAAGATATTTCAAATCGGATTCTAGATTAGAGACAGATATTTAAGATATTTCAAATCGGATTCTAGATTAGAGATTAGAGACAGATATTTAAGATATTTCAAATCGGATTCTAACCATGGTAAGCAATGTTTTACCATGGTCAGATTTAACCACTGGTAAATTCATTGTACGAGTGTGCAGCATCCTTTTTAATAGTTTTAATAGTTTCAGATGGTAATATTAGCCCGGTTTCCTTATCAGATGGTAATATTAGCCCGGTTTCCTTATCAGATGGTAATATTAGCCCGGTTTCCTTATCAGATGGTAATATTAGCCCGGTTTCCTTATAAGATGGTAATATTAGCCCGGTTTCCTTATCCAGCTGTAACTTGCTTTGACTCTGACTATGATTTGAGATCATAGCTACAAGGTTAGATTTCAGATCATAGTCAAAGCTCATTCAAAAGTCAAAATTTTGAGGTTGGATTTAGTATGATTTCAGATCTAGTCAAAGTACAAGTAATTTGTTTTATGAATCCAATCTAAGCTGCTCTGACTATGACTTGATAACAGCTGGCCTTCCTAACTGACAGCAAAAAATAAAATTTAGTGGGGCATTGATATTTTCTCGACTGCTTTTAAAAGTCGTCTTTGATTTTTGGCCTTAAAATTGTAAAATAATTGATAAATTAGATAGATGGATAGACTAATAAAAACATAGCTAGATAGATAGAGATAAAAGATGAAGAAAAAAAGAGAATAACAGAAATAATCTATAAAAGGAAATATCTGATAAAAAGGTTTATTTTTGTTTTAAAAAAATCTTTTTTGAAAAAATATTATTTATAGGTTTTTTAAAAATCTTAGAAATATTTTCATTTTTCTGAACTATGCATCTTGGCATATTATTTCTGGTCTCTATTTTCATGTTTTGCAATTTTAGTAGTTTTAATGTCTGCTTATTTGTACCCAAAATCATGGTAAATGCCTAAAAATGGCGACTAGTTTGTTCCCATTTGCTGTGATTTAGCTGTGAAGTCGAAGCTAAATACAACCTCAGGTGTGATTTCCATCAGCTGATGTTTAGCTATGATTTAGCTCCGACTTCAGATCAAACCTAAGCTTCGATCTTGCTCTGATTTTGGACTAACGAATACAAAATCATAGATAAGCTAGGAAGTCGCAGCTAAATCATAGCTAGAACCGGACAAAGAAACCGGGCTCTTGTCTTCTTCTTTGTTTTTTTAGTTAGAAAGAAGGAAGACGACAATCAATCCTCTTCACCAGTTTATGTAAAGGGTTACCCACAAAGGATGAGACTTAAAGGGAGTGTATGCGAAAAATGAAAGGGGTATAGGCTTACGTCGAAAATATTCGAGGGTGATTGCTACTAATCTTACTTCTATCTGTTGCGTCTATCAGGAGAAACTTGTTTTAAACGACTCATACCGAAGAACGTAGAGTCCATACAAATTTAGAAAGTTGCAATATTCAGCTTGGATTCCTGGGATCGTAAAAAAATCAATTTAATTGCAAATAAATCATTCAGATATTACAACCTATGATCATCGATTTGTTTTCAATGAATTCTTATATAGTTGATAAATCATAACATTTTTCGCTTGTTACATATAAAATATACGATTAGGTGGCCGCTAGGTATCTCTGCTCTGGTTTTGGAGTTCCACGGGGAAGAGACTTCAATTGTATATAAATGCATCGAAATAATCGATGATTGTTTGGATTTAAATTGATTTTTACGATCCAAGATGAATATTGCAACTTTCTGAATTTGTATGGACGCTACGTTCTTCGATATGAGTTGTTTTTAACAATTTTCTCCTTTTAGACGCAACAGATAGGAGTAAGATTTGTAGCAATCTCCATCGAATATTTTTCATTTACAGACCACATTTAGAACAAAAACATAATTTAAGCTTGACAGTGTAATATTTGAAGAGTTACCTTTACAGTCTCATTCTTTGTGGGTATCCCTGTAAAATGAAAGGGCAAAAATCATGACTTGTAAATATTGAATTTGCTGGTATCTTAAAAACTTAAACTATTAATGCAAAGACTATTGAAACTGAAGTCTAAAAAAACCGGAAATATTTCACGCGAATAATACCAGGCGCCATCTTTTATTTAGAGAATTACATCAAACCTGAGATTTTAAGAATCCATGAAGAGTTTACAAATGAAATTTGAACAATTTAAATTTTCGATGAGAGAACAATGATTGCATCACAAGGAAAAATTTGAAGAACAAGAGTGAAGTGCAGAAAATAACGTAAACAAGAACTGTGACAGGGTGTGTGGAGACGTGTGAGCACCCTGTTTAATTCTTACGAACATCATCTTTTTTATTTAATACATATTGTCAAATAGATAGATTGTCAAGTACAATACACTACAATACAATACAATACAATACAATACTATACAATACAATACAATACAATACTATACAATACAATACAATACAATACAATACAATACAATACAATACAATACAATACAATACAATACAATACAATACAATACAATACAATACAATACAATACAATACAATACAATACAATACAATACAATACAATACAATACAATACAATACAATACAATACAATACAATACAATACAATACAATACAATACAATACAATACAATACAATACAATACAATACAATACAATACAATACAATACAATACAATACAATACAANACTGTCAGTACAGCTGTATTTGTATACTGTCAGTACAGCTGTATTTGTATACTGTCAGTACAGCTGTATTTGTATACTGTCAGTACAGCTGTATTCTTACGTCACAAGTGTCAACAGTTCTAAGTGTCCAACAAAATTATTAATAATAGTGATAATAAAGTGCTAATATTTCATTGATATTGAAATAAGTGCAATTTTGTGTTCTTTATTTTCTGTTTATACACTTTTTTATTAAATATTAGAAAACATGTTCACTAATGGGAGAAAATCTTGTTTTCCTTGTTATGTTTGACACTTGTGACGTCATATATAATTGGTCCATTTCTCTGCTGCCACCTATTGTATTTGTATATATGTTAAAAATTAAAAGTTGGAAAAAATAATAAACGTTAAAAAATCATGTGTGCACAAAATGAACCTGCAAGACTGCTAAACAATACTTACTTCTGAAATATTTTCAATTGTTTATAATTGTATTAACCAAAAACTCACTAAAAGCTATCAATGAAATAACAAAATATACTTAATCAAGCTTCTTTTATATTAAAGCAAACGGTCTAAATTTTCGAAAAAATATTTAGGCCCGTCTAAATTCTAAGTCTAAATCAAAATAAAACAGACAAAAAAGCCAAACTGGGGTAAGGTTAAACCTTCACAAAGATATATTGGTTTAATTTCAATTTATCACACTATCTCCCTACGCAAATAAGTTCTTCGCTATTTTAAATTTTTGCCATTAAAAAAAAAATGAATTTCATGATTAAAAATTTTTAATACTTTAAAAAGATTTTGCCAAATCCGGAAACTTTTAAAATAGGAGAGAGATCAAGTTAAACTTATTCAGTCGATTTATCAGCTCCGGGCATTAAACAATTGGAATATTTCCTAGATTTGCTGGATTCAGAATTTTTAAATCTTCCCCTGCACCACTCTTCAGCATTTTTTGAAGATTTTTCTTAAAATCAGAAAAAACGTTTTTTTCGCCAGACAATCTTTTATCTGTATAAAATAAGTTTGTAATAATCTCTGTTTGTCTGTTTGATTGATTGGGCAACTCGGGAGAACCAATGGTCAATTCTTGGTTTTAAAAAGAATAATTTGTCAACTTTTAAGGTAAAGTTTCCAGGCAAAGCCGGTTTCCCAAGGTATTAAACCATAAAATGTTTTTTATTTCATACTTTTACTTTATTATAAACAATAATAATAATATTTAGTATTCCTCTCTCAGCAAACTTTTGTAACACTGATCCCAACTAAATTGTCTATCTATCTATCTACCTTTATATCCTATCCATCTACCTATCTATCTATCTGTAATTTTAAACTATAAAGAAAAACGAAAAACGAAACGATCCTTGTTAAAACGATTGTTTTTCGTTTAAAAAACGGTAGTTTTAAGAAAAATATCGTTTTCAAAAATGATAATTTTTCTTTTTTTAACACGGTCGTTTTTAAACACGATCGCTTTCGAAAACAACCATACTTCTAGGGGTCAAAGTGTACTTCAATGATAAGCGGAGTGGTTTGGTGTTTTAATGGATTTCATAATAGAGTGTAAAATAACTCCGGGAATGGAACTATTTGAACAACAATATTTCACTGAGCAATATATCATATTGACGAGAACTGAAGAAGGACATGAGAAGGACTATACTAACATAAATTTCTCTCTACAGGACTCATGTACACCACAAGTACTCAATGACATAAGATCAGCCAATGTTCACAACCGACCTAGTTAATCTATATAATAGAATATCTTTAAAACATCTCTGTACATTTATATCTTTCAAGGTGAAAAACGTCGTCTTATGCGCAATCTATCTTTATCTATGAAAAAACCCTTTGTTAACGAACGTTAGCGACGATTCTTTGTTAATGATCATTAACGACGACCCTTTGTTAACGTTCGCTAACGAACTTTTAAAGTGAAAATACATTATTTGGTCGGAAACTCCAACGTCAGAAAACATTTAGGTTATTTATTTTGAAAGAAAAAAACATTTAAGATAACATTCATAAACTTAACTTTCTGAAATTTCTTTTTTTAAACAATCGTTATTTAAAAAAATATTGTTTGTTAAAAAACGATAGTTTTTAGTTTAAAAAAACTATCGTTTTTAAAAAACACATAGTTTTCTAAAACGATGGTTTTTCGAAAGTTCAAAACGAGTGGCTCATGTTTAAAAACAATAGTTTTTTCCTCAATTTAAATGACCGTTTTCAGAAAAAAATTAAAATGAAATGATAAACGATTGTTTTTAAAAACGATTTATAACCCTACTCGCTTTGTACACCAACTACACTAACATACAACAGAGGTCAATCAAGTTGTGGCCTAGCCTAGGCCGCAACTACATTAACCCCTGCTGCCTAGCTCTATAGGCAGGGGTAACTGGTCCAAAAAAAAATTGACGCGGTCTGACATTAGGAATTGAGGCTGCATCTGGTTAAAACAGTCTGTTTGATTATTGTATTAAAGATGTTGAGTTTTTGCCATGAACTCCGATTTTCTAAAACCTAAAACTTTGCAAACCACTGTCGTCGTAGAACTTAGATACTTCAAACTATAAATTCTATTATATCAAATAATCTATGTTTGAAGCTTAAAAAGTCTACACCAATTAATTTCAAAGAAATAGGGATTATAAAATTCAAGTTTGTGGCAAAAACTCAACTCCCTTTTTATTACGGATTATTTGACATATTATAGAATGTGTAACCTGTAATAAGATTAACCATACAAACTGAAGACTGATGGGAACAGGCAACCATACAAACTGAAGACTGATGGGATTTTAGTATTCCTCTCTCAGGAAACTTTTGTAACACTGATCCCAACTAAATTGTCTATCTATTTATCTATCTTTATATCCTATCCATACTATCTATCTACCTATCAATCTATCTATTTTTTTAAACTATGAAGAAAAACGAAAAACATAAAGATTGTTTTTAAAAACGATTGTTTTTCGTTTAATAACGATAGTTTCTAAAAAAAATATCGTTTTCAAAAATGATAGATTTTCGTTTTTAAACACGGTCGTTTTTCAAGATGATCGTTTTCAAAAACAACCCTTTGTTAACGACTGTTAACGATGATTCTTCGTTAACGATCATTAACGACGACCATTAGTTAACGTTCGTTAACGAACTTTTAAAGTGAAAATACATTATTTGGTCGGAAACTCCAACGTCAGAAAACATTTAGGTTTGTTTTGATAAAAAAACGTTTAAAACAACATTCATAACCTTATCTTTTTGAAATTTTTTTTTAAGCAATCGATTAAAAAAAAATATTGTTTTTAAAAAGCTATCATTTTCAATAACGATAGTTTTTAGTTTTTTGAAAATTCAAAACAAGTGGCTCGGGCAAATTCTCAATTACTGATGGGAACGGGCAACCACACAAACTGAATACTGATGGGAACGGGCAACCATAAAAACTGAATACTGATGGGAACGGGCAACCATAAAAACTAAAGACTGATGGGAACGGACAACACCAAGTACTTTACAAATGATTAATAAAACAAAACCTGGTTTCTCATTTAGTTTCCGCTTTTTTAGTTTCCATGAGTTTAGAACATTATATCAAAAGTTTGAGAAAGACACCAACACGAAATAAGTTTATATAATTTATTGTCTGATTGTTTAATTATCAACATTCCTCATCATGATAAACAATATTATGGGGTGTTAAAATAACAATTAAGTGACAATATTAAACTTTGATCTGATGATATTGAAAATAAAGATAGATGGATAGTACAAATAAATAGACATATAGATAGATATAAATATAAATAGATAGACATATACACGAATGCTGTTTTGGTGGAAATTTTCTGCATCTCTGGGTTTAAACATTTCAAAAATAGGACTCAGTTCTAATCTATTGTTGGGCCTTCTTTACGGCTTAAGCTTTGGACTCGAGCAGAAGCTTTTAAATCGCGGGCTCTGAAGTCAGAATAGTTTAACCCAGAACTTCAGGAAAGAATAAATAAAATGTCGTTTTCTTAACCTACTGATAATATAATGCTGCATATAATCAATAGTTTAACCCAGAACTTCAGGAAAGAATAAATAAAATGTCGTCTTCTTAACCTACTGATAATATAATGCTGCATATAATCAATATTTTTACCCAGAACTTCAGGAAAGAATAAATAAAATGTCGTCTTCTTAACCTACTGATAATATAATGCTGCATATAATCAATATTTTAACCCAGAACTTCAGGAAAGAATAAATAAAATGTCGTTTTCTTAACCTACTGATAATATAATGCTGCATATAATCAATATTTAAACTAAATAATTAGATGGTGCTTTTTAAAGATGGTCCCGCATATTTCATGTCCGTTTATTTATTTTACAATTATTGAGATTTAGGTAAAAGGAATAAAAAACATTGAAAAATTGTCAAAACGACATTTTATAAATTCTTTCGATGGCTCCGTAGTTCTGAGTTGAACAGTATAAACACGGATAAATTAACAATTCTTCTATATCCTGTGGTGGTCATACCCTGCAAATTTACTGAAATGAAGAGATCTAGCATTTATCGTTCTTAAAAGTGCTTAAGCTTTGAATATATCGAAATTCAAGAATTGACTGATGTGCTTTAATGATACGAACAAATTTTTGATTGTTGAGAGGAGAGACCTTCATTGTAATTTTTGCATGCCCTTTATTTATAAAGAGGGACATGGCCGAATCCTAGAACCTTAATCTGACAAATAAGAAAGATACCGATCTGACTTGAAATTTCTGATAATTGTTCTGATTTAAAAAATTCGCAATTCAGTTTTGTAGCGAAACCACAAATGAAAATAATCAATATTCAAAAACAAAAAAAAACGTATATTTAATTTTCACTGCAGCTGACAACGATTTTGATATTGTACCATTGTGAATCCGACATGCCACTCTATCAATGATTGATCACGTAAAGTTACGTTTACTACCCCCTTTTCTTGAGGAAAAACAGTTTGAAATTGAAAATTAAATTTTTGTTTCATGTCTAAAAATTGAAAATCTTATTTGTCTAAAATCTAGGATCTTTATTCACGAGAGGATTAGACTTAAGTTTATGTACAAGCAATAATATAGAAAAAAACGTTAAAATGAATTAACCTACTGATAATGTAATACTGCATATATTTACTATTTTAACTAAATAGTTAAATATTGCTTTTTAAAGATGAATGAAAATTTAATTTACATTTTCTCGGGAGATATTTTTGTATTGCAGTCGGGTTTCTTGCTTTTATAATAACTGACAGTTTCTTCAACCTTCCAGGGTGTCCAGGGTGTTCAGGGTGTTCAGGGTATCCAAGGTGTCCAGGGTGTCCAGGGTGTCCAGGGT